ATATACCCTTTGGGTGGTTGAGGATGCATGGAGGGGATTGGAACCATGGCAATGAGATGATATACGATAGAATCAATGTAAAACTAAAGTTCCCCCATGTAAACTATCATGTAATTCACAATAAAACATTAAAAACAAGAGGACATGGAACAAGGTATATTCATTGCTGATGTCAGATGGATCTTGGCTAAAAGCAGAGAATTCCAGAAAGAAGTGTATTGGTAGTTTACTGACAGCAAAAGCATTAGACTGTGTGGGTCATGACAAGCTATGGACAACATTGTGAAGAACTGGTATTCCAAAACACTTAATAGTGCTCATCAGGAACCTTACCGTAGACCAAGAGGCAGTCATTCGAACAGAACAAAGGTATACCAAATGGTTTAAATTCAGGAAAGGTGTGTGTCAGGGTTGTATTCTTTTACCTGTATGCTGTATGTACTGCAATCTGTACACTGAACAAATAATCTGATAAATTGGATTATATAAAGAACTTGGCATCAGAATTAGAGGAAGACTCATTAACAATCTAAAATATGCAGATGATACATGCTTGCTTGCTCAAAACAAACAGGACTTAAAACACTAATGAAGATTAAAGACACACAACCTTCAGTATGGACTGCACCTCACTGTAAAGAAAACAAAAATCTTTACAACCAGACCAGTAAGTAACATCATGATAAATGGAAAAAAGAATACAGTTGTCAAAGACTTCAATTTGCTAGGATACAGTCAAGAAATCAAACGATGTATTACATTAGGCAAATCTGCTGCATAAGACCACTTTAAAGTGTTCAAGAGCAAAGATGTCAGTTTGAGAACTAAGGTGTACTTGACCCAAGTCATGGTAGTCTCAATCACCTCAGATACATGTGAAAGTTGAAAAATGAATAGGGAAGACCATAGAAGAGCTGATGTATTTGAATAATGGTGTTGAAGTACCATAGACTGCCAGAAGAACAAACAAATCTGTCTTGGAAGAAGTACAGCCAGAATCCTCCTTAGAAAGGAGGATGGTGAGACTTTGTCTTTCATACTTTAGATACAGTATCAGGAGGGAACAGTTCTTGGAAAAGGGCACTGTAATGTTTAGGGTTCTGTGTCAACTTGACTAGGCCAGGATTTTAATTAGCAATTCAGATGTGCTTATTCCTAGATGACAAAACCTATTATACACATAGTTAACACTCTGATCATTAGTTCTGAGCAGCCAATCAATTGAAGGGCTACTTCCTTGAGGATGTGGTCTGCTGCCA